GCTAAACGGGATACCAAGCGAATGTCTGCGAAAGAAGTCACTATTAATGTTACAGAGAATCTCCGACAGATGGACAGGAGTAAAAGAATCACAAAGAACTGCGTCAATTAGCAGTGCCTGGATGGAGGAGCAATTGAACCTTTTTTGTGGGGTCCAGTCAAAGAGTCTTGATGACGTGGGTGTTGTTTGCTAAACACAGCAGCCTCTGCGCATCTGGAGAGGTGGCTTGACCAGGCAACATGTAGTCACCCGAGGTGTGAGGGCCTTCTCAGTGTCCTGTTTATCACACACACACACACACACACACACACACACACACACACACACACACACTTATTGAAAAGTCCTGAAATACGTTCACAGATTGCCAAAATGTGGTTTGTTTTTCCCCTTTGCAGCTTCCATAGCATGGTCTTCTGTAGCCTTGGTGAAGTACATGGGTCTGCGAACAACATAGAAATGCAGTAGCGTAGCGGATTTCCCGAGGCAACAATCACACATCAGTGTGAAGCTCGTGCCATGTGTGGTCCTGAACCCTTCTTCCTTTCGGTCTAAAAACAGCTATCACAAAATTTACTGTTTTCACTTCAGAGCTGGCTCTCATCCAATTCTAAACCCAGAAATATAAGAACTGGAGAAACGGAAAAACTCAGAGATAGAGCAACCCCAGCTGCACATGTTTACTCCGCCAGTGCCCGTGGAGTGTCTTTGAGAGGTGTGGGTGACACAATCACACCTGTTCATCTTCTACCTGGAAAGGCCTCCTAGGCTGGCATCCAGACATTGGCTTCCAAACCAGAATATAGCAATGTCTGTGGCCATTGCATCCAACCTGCAACTCCCCCTGGGACCTAGCTACATGTTGCTTATTTTCCCATAGCTTTCCCATTCCCTTTTACTCTCATGACCTCCAGTCAGATCATTTGCAACTAGGATCAAAGGCTGGACACCACTCACAGGAGGGAAGTGACCCGGGGACACATGGTGGCATGCGTGGTGCCCCTTTTGGTCTTCCAGTATCAGCGCCAAGGACTGTGTTATTTTGGTGTCTGCAAAGTAATTAGTTTAGGAAGCCAGAATCTGGTTGGTGTATATTCATGTTGACATTAGACTGACAAGGGACAGTAAAGATGCTTGGAGAGGAATCTTCTAGCATTTCTAAATACATCTTCCTGCAAAGTCTAACATAGCATGAGTTTGAGAGGACTGTTAACATTCTGGGCTTAGGAAAGGCATAGACCGAGTTGTACCAAACTGTCCCAACCAACTCCACATTTAGCAGCAATAGCAGCCTGGTGACATGTTTATATGACACTGTCCAAGAGACGTAACCTCAGCAGGCTAAAATGCTTTCTCTGATATGATTCCTCCAGCACAAGTAGAACGATAGATCGTCTGTTTGTTAGTATCAAACATTCACTTCCAACCTTGTGCCAGCTATGGTGACAGATGTGGAGAGATTTGGAGTCCGATCAATCATGACTGTATCTTCTGACTCTATAGGTGAGCTTGGTAGCCAGGAGACCAGCGTGGACCCTATGGCACAGGACCGATTATTGCAGTGGGCTATCACTTTTAGGTTAAAGGTAGCTTCCTGTTAATCACAGATGTAGGTATTTGCCCATCACTGTCCAAGCCTTTGCAATATACACCACAGTTCCCCCAAACCTCTCTCATCCCGACTCTGTTTCAAAGGGCTTTTAGGGAACTTCCTGTCCTAAGAATTTAACTAATAAAAACAAAAGCAAGCCCTGGGCCTCCTGTTTCCTCAGTGGCATCGCCCCGCAGGAGTCCTGCTTCAGGGTTGGCAGCGGTCCGACCCTGTTAGCTCAAGGGCTTGCTCTCCAGGGCATGCACGCTGTGTTTTGACATGCTGCTTTCCTGGTTGACATGCTGTCAGCCACGGGCTAAGGTCTGCTCCCCTTTGCGTTTGCCTCACTTCACTGATGCACGTTGTTTGGAATGTCCCATCTGGAAAAGTTGTCTCTGCATATATAGAAACATGCTCTCACTTTCTGAGGAGGAGGAATGGAGCGAGGGCCTCTGATCTGGCCACATCATTGAAATTTCCATCTGGCAGAGTTTAAATGTGTGGTTAAGCCAGAAACTGGTTCTTACTATATCCCATTGGATAACATTTTCCATTTTGAAGTTTGTGTCAATAAAGTCATTAATTTCAAACATATGTGGATTGTTACAGACTCTCTTTACTGGAACCTTAAATCTGTATGCACAGCTGGGTAGATTTTTTTTTTTTTTTTTTTTTAACAATGGTGTTTTACAGAAGCGATTCCTTCAAACAGCCTTGTGGATTAGGTGAATTCGGTAACGAAAACGCAATTAGCGCCAACTTACAGAGCTATTTATAGTCTTCTCGGACAGGAACTGGTGGGCTGGGATGCCAGACAGGAAAGCCAGCCTCAAGGTTAGTGCTCCCCAGCCTCTCATTACTGGTGCCTGTCTCAGATGTCCAGACTATCTGAAAGACTCGAGGAGCTGTCAGGTACCCCGAAACTGAGCCAAACCCAAGTGTATAAAGATAGGGTAATTGGAGAGGGCCGCAGTTAGAGAGGTGGGTCTAGCCTGAGCTCACCTTAGTCTTCTGGCCAGGGTGAGCCTGATCTGGCATGAGAAGGCACTCTGGGTTAAGGTCAGAAAGCAAGTTGGTAATTCAGGGAAGACAGAAACTGTAGTCCTTATAAAAACTGTCCAGTATACACACATAACATATTATATGTAATAAGGAGCAGGAGGTGAGGGCTACCTAGGTTGCTGTCAGCGCCCTGACCTCATGGACTGTTCTTCCAGTGCTCATCTCCACAGTCCACAGTGCTACCTGCACCCAGGCCTGATCATTGTGGCCCCTCCCTAGTGTCCCGGGAATACCTGCTCTCTGTAGCTGTTCCTCTCAGCGGGGTTAGGAGGGCTCTTCTGCACCAGTCAGATATGAGGCACAGTTCGTTCAGCTGGCATGCTGTACACAGCTCCAGCAGGCACCCCGCACCGAGAGACCATGTCCATCCTCTCCTTCTCAGCCAGTCTGATGTCATTTAGATAAAGATGGCATTTGTGAGTCTCCGTTTCTTCCTGCTGCTTAGAATGTGGAGGTAAAAGCTGGAGCAACGTCGGTCCACTGGGCTGTCAGGTGGCCTCGGAAGTGGACGCCCTGCCAACCCGAGCAACAAATTGGAAGTAGCCTGGGATCCTGATTCCACGCAGCCTCCCTGAGCCCTGCACTGTACATACTTGACTGTGTGTGGCCAAGAAATGATGCATTTGCTTCATTTAATCTACTCTTCCAGGTTGTAATTCATCAGCAAAACTAATTTAAATTAGTGTAGAAAATGTCATCTTCTTTTGAAGACCTGGAAGTCTCTGTCTAAATCTCTTGGTCCCAAGTTCTCTGGACCTCATGTCTGCATGCGCTAGAACTGGTGTCTCCAGAAGGTGAGGGCCCCCCACTCATGTGACTTAGCCAGACTAGCTCTGCATTGTCACCTGCCTGAGGAGGGTGACTTTGCAACCCCTGTTCCAATTTGTGTCCCCCAATACTTGGCTTTCTTTTCTTTCAAGAGTCATTCAAATGCTGATTGTCACCGTTTCCACAAGTTTGGGAAGTAGCTAATTTGGGAAGCTAACAGCTAAAATTATGTATGTATTCACTTTCATGTACTATAACTATATTTATTGAAAATCTTCAATGTGCCAGAAATAGGAAAATTTTGCGATTATTTATTTACTTATCTATTTATAGTTTTTGTTTGTTCTACTACAGTAGCTCCATCCACAAAGTCAGGAACCATGTCTGTTTTATTTCCAATTTCTAGTACATTGAAACTTTTCAATAAATATACACTGTATTTTGATCTTATTCACCCCCCACACCCTCTTGGATCCATTTCCCGTTCCCACTGACTTCTTCACAGCCGGTCCCCCTCATAGTTTTGTGCTGAAACTTTTTTTTAGTAAGATTCTTTGGCCAGCATTCTTCCTGCCCTGTCTCTGGTAATAAGGTTTCTTGCATTTGTATAGAGAAGACAGCTTCCCTGGGCTTTATCTCCAGCTTTCTGGAGGAAAAATAGCCTGAGCTTTCCTCTTGGAACATTTTCTAAAGTGACGTTAGATCCAAATAATCCTTATACCAGAGAGACATCTTTGCATGCTCCGTGACTCTTTGGTGACAATTTGGCTAATTTATTTTAAATAGGAAATGTATACACTCTTTCAACAGTTCCTTTTTAAGCTCTGTGTTATGAACTGAACTGTATACCTCCCAAACTTGCTTGCTGAAGCCCTAAGCCCGTGTGTACAGAATATGGTTTTATTTGGAGATGGGTGGGTGTTTAAAGAGGCAACTAGGACAAAATGAGGTCATCTGGGTGGGCCCTAATCCAATGTAACCTTGGCACTTCTACAAAGGAGAGATTAGGATGCACAGACACACAGAGGGGGACACCCCTGTGAGATACCAGAGGAAGATGCCCACATGTAGACCAAGGAGCAAGGACGCAGAAGTAACACCCTGCTGATCCTTTGATCTCAGACATAAAGGCTCCCGGTTATGAGAAAATCAATGTCTGTTAAGTCACCAGGGCTGTGGAGCTTTGTGAAGGCATTCCTAGAGACATCCCTAGGAAACTGGTACAACGCTCTAGAAAAGTATGTGGATATATAAGTTGGGTGTAAGGACCACTGCTCAGTCTTCTGGAACTTGGTTTCAGGGGACAGGAGAACACAGTTCCACATGGAACACTGCTACCTCCCTTTACCTCTTGAAGTGCTCCCCAGTGATCTTCCAACTGGGCCACCTACCTTCCTTGGCTGGAGGGCTTTGTCTGATTCCTTCCAGGGCGTGAATTGACAGGACATTGTTGCTATTGATGCTTTGCCACTTCTTCCCCAATCCCAGCACCCTTCACTCAACTCTAATGCTAAGATAGGTGTTTTCTATGAGCTCCTAGAATTTTCCCAGATGTATGTACTCCAATTACCCAGCAGGTAGCTAGTTTAATAACATACCCCTTTATTGCATGCTTCTCTGATTGGTCTCCAGGGTAGGCACACTGCTGTAGCTGCAGGCTTCAATATGAACCCCATCCTTCCTCCTGTCTCTTTTTTATTACCACACCATCTATTTCGAAGACTTGGTTTTGTCCCT